TCTGAGATGAGGTATTATATACACTATTTAGATTATTCGGACTATTGTCCTCATCTTTGTCGCCATATTTATTACTACGTTTCGGTCCTTCAGTATCTGTCTATATTTCTGAGATGAGGTATTATGTACACTATTTAGATTATTCGGACTATTGTCCTCATCTTTGTCGCAAATTTTATTACTACGTTTCGGTCCTTCAGTATCTGTCTATATTTCTGAGATGAGGTATCATGTACACTAACTCAGAAAACAGTCTACATGCCACATGTGAAGGGGTAATCAGAGAAAATACAAAGGACAACCTTCAAAACCTGGTCGACACTTCGCAGATATCTCTCGCAAGTAAACCCCCCCCATAGAAGAGAACATGTGTAAAGACTGCGTGTACGCTATCCCGTGCAGCTGCGTAAAGAAGTATAAAGGAGAGACAGGCTGCCCCCTTAAGGTAACGCTTCAAGAACACCAGAAAGCTGTAACACGAGGGGAAGAGGAAAAAATCAGGTGTGGCTGACCACATATGGAGAGAAAAGAGAGATCACCGCCCTCTGTGAGATCAGGTTGAGATCATAGACAAACAGCATTGGAAAATTCGTAAACTTAAGAAATCAGCACATATGCTAGTCCACAAAAATCTCCTGAGCCGGCCAAGCATAGAAATGTATACAATATGGGAACCAGTAATAAGGAGTGCTAGAGAAAAGCGATAATAACAACAAAAATTGCAATATGAGTTCTGGTAAAAATTTGATGGCTGAAAACATTAGGTTTATAATACCCAGAAATTCACGCACAGATGCCCTCAAAGACGCATGGCACAGTGGCTAAAAACGTTGGTTCGATCCAGTGGCAGTACCCAAAGAGTGTGAGTTCAATACCTGGTTAAGGCGGTGGATAATCGTTGTGATAAATATGGCGACAAAGGTGAGTACAATTGTCCGAATAATTTCGGCAGTGTTCAGATTTCTTTTTTTAAAAGACCGCATGAAATAAATGTTCTTGTGATAATGCTGTATTAATAATATGTAATTACCATGTACCATTTAGTAATTCTTCACCTTTCTTTGTTTCAGATCAAAGACTTGGCAAAATCAACTCCTGATTCGCGCCTAACTGACATGGATCTATGGAATAATTACTTACACAAAGAAAATTTAATTATCTGAGTAAGTAATTCATGTTTCTACTGTCATGTTTATTGAATTGATCATATTTACATTGGACGACTTTCTGCATTCGATATAACGATAGTAATTTCTGAACATATATCTACCTTAATAAGTGGACAAACATACATATGCACTATATATATATATATATATAGAGAGAGAGAGAGAGGGTCTGTGTATCATTTCCACTCTCCCTATATATACACATCATACATCTCTCTTTCTCTCCCGTCATAATTAAGCTTACATGTAATTAAACATATGTAAGCACATGTATATACATACATATACATATATTCTTTCTCTCACTCAATATGTCATGCATATACATATAAAAGGTAATTGAAAAGTAACTATTTTAAATTAATTAAAATCTGGCTATCAGGGGGCAGAATTTAGCATGAGATTTATTTAAAATTTGATATTGGGACCAGATTTCGCTACCAGCTTTTCGAGCCGACCGGAAATCGTGTCAGATGATTTCTACCAGGAACATTAGTGGTATGGAAGACATAACTTTTTGTTTTCGCCCTTCAAGTTTGTTCAAAGTTTTGGTTTCGTATAGTAGACTTGCTCCTTTAACCAACCCCAAAGAAAAAAAAAATAATAGTGTGTTAAGTCAGGACGCCTGGCCGGCCACTCATTCATCAAATTGAGAGTTAATTTTCAATTACCATATATATATATATATATATATATATATATATACTAGCAGGCTTCGCAAAGTAAGATATATTCACTACTTGAAATCTTTGAAACAAAAATTCTAAATGAACAATTCATTCATAAATTGGTTGGAAACATGAAAGAAAACATCTGTATTTATTCAGATAACTAAACATTAGAATTTTAGCCATTTTTAAATAATTGAAACATGGGGAAACTAAAAGACATTTAACAGGTTTTGACAGAAATAAAATACATTTATTTGCAAGAATGAAAAACAAAATGGGGAAAAAAATTGAAATCAAAAGTTTTTTTTCTTAAATAATTCTTATTGTAATGCAGCAGGATAAACTACATTTTTTTTTTTTATTTGGAGCAAATATTAATAAATACCTTCCATTTCCAACTCTTGAACAGGCAACATAACTGACCATGAGAAAAGCAGGGTTGCATAACGTGAAGTCCAGTAACTTTCATTGATTAAATTTGTGATTTATTACTAGTCATTACAAAATTACTCTGATTGCAATCGCATAAAACCCAAAAGCATATCTGTTGGAATCAATGAAATTCTTGGAATCAGAATAGTCTGACCTTTCACGTGACCAGTTATAATAAGAGCTTCCAATAAGTGAGGTAATATTTTCTTTACAATAAGACGTGTACCATTAAATAATTTTGGAGGATCAAGATTTCTTAGCAGCATTAATGGTACTCCTTGTTTTAATACCAACTTGTGTGATAGAAGTCCTGTAAGATCCAAAGAATTAAAAAATTCAATAGGGAAGTTAACTGTTTCCTCATAATCCAAAGTTGTATCAGTGGATAGGTATGTTCTTTCGTATGTTGGGATATCTTGCAGAATCTTCTGATTGATGATCTGTACTGTTTAATTTCTGGATGCCAATATGGCTCTGTCACACATCCAATCTGTATTCTGGATGTTATCTGATATATTGGGGTATACTTTAAAAATGAATTCCTCAATGCTCTCGACCAGAGTGCTGAAGATTTCAGGAAAGCTGATTTGTTCATCTTGATCATGTGAAATTTCTCCATTACCAATTTTTAAAAGGAGGTCACTAAATTCCTTTGCTGTCCTATCTCCACTGAGTTCCACCCTCATATTAGTGGTCAAAAAGCGTCTTTCAATATGATCCCGCAGATAAGAACTTTTCAGGCAGGCATGAAGTTCATCTGCAGCTGTCCCTCGTTTGACAACAGGGAGTGTTTGTCTGAAATCTCTAAATAGTGGAATTGTTACTCCGCCCAGCATTATGTCTAATATCTTTCAGTGTTCTGTCTAAGGCCTTAAATGCGCCCTTGTGAGCCATAGTTCACTCATTCCAGACTATGAAGCAAGTCACCTGAAGTAGCTTGGCTAAGTTTGTTCCTCTATTTATCTTGCACACAGGATTGTCATTGTAGACCAGGTCTAATGGCAGTTTAAATGTCGAGTGAGCAATTCTTCCACCAGTAAGCAAAATAGCTGCTATTCCAGATGATCCTACAGCTAAAACCACTGTTCTTTGCACCCTAAATGAAGATAATAGGAGAAATTAGGAACCTTTTTTCCAGTACTTTCAGAAGCATCCCAAAAGAAATTTCCACTAGTAAAATTGTTGATCCTTAACATAATCTCATTGTAGATGACTCTCTGGTCATTTTCAAGAAGAGGTGTATTATTCTGTATTTGATGGATCGGCTCTTCATGGCTTAATCCACTCTATCTTAGAATTCCTCTATTTAAGGGATCAGAATTTCTGTTTGGTTTGGAAAGTCCGAAATCGGAGAGTTATTTTTGTGTCACATTTAGCACCTTATCTTCTATTTCACACAGTGCAATGTACACAATTCTTGAGTTCCTTTGTATAGCTAGTCCTGGATGAACCAATTCCATATGATGAAGAATGACTCACTCATATCTTCTTGGTGTTTAACATACATATCCACCAAAAGCTGGTTGAATAGTTGCTTGAATCGGAAGAGATAATTATAACTGTTACTCTTTATCATAATTCTGTATGCATAGAAGTCCATGGCTGAGAGTTTTTTGTTTGTAGTTTATCAAGTGTTCAAATGTCAAATGAGGAGAAAATTGTATCCATCTATTCAAAAGATGATTAGCTATTGTGAGGCATAATGTCTGTGCGTTTCTGCAACTTTGTGAAGACTTCCATCTTGTCTCTGAAGAACGATGTCATATTCTTGGCCAACAATTATGATAGCTACCTCATTGGTACATGTGGGTATTGAACTACCTCTGGTGTTCACCAGAAGGCGTTTTTTCATCTCTAATCACAATTTTGAAATCTTCAGGTCCGGCTCTTTCTATAGATGATTTTATCTCCCTAACATAAACATTGAGTAAAACGAGTAAATACCAAATTACTGTAAAGTAGTTTGTAACACGTTTATTTATCATCTCTTAGTTGCGTCTCTTTTGGGAGAATGCGCCCAGGGGTGGCTCCTTCAAAGGACAGAATCGCAACTTAGAAAAATTACATTGAGAAGATGCGCAGCCCTGGGGAACAGGTATTCGAGGCTGGGCCTTCTCATTGCACTAGAGAGAGGGATCGGTGCTTGCACTGAGGCCAGCACAACCGACGGAGACTCGAGGGATGTTTCCTAGCCCGTATGGGCGGCCTCCACCGCGCACATTAAATTGACCTTGTGTCACAACGCGAATTCGTTGAGCTCGCGTAAATACCAAATTAATATAAGGTAGATTTAGTGAGGGAATTGAGCTCCAGATTCGCATTTATTCATATAGAAGATATATACATAATCAAAGATATTTTGTGTCGATCTACATGCGTATGTAGATAGACAATGGAAAAAATCGAGCAGTAAAATCCAAAATGTTTATTGTCTTCAATATTTGTCTTAAGAACGTTTGCTGCCTAAATGCGTTTAACAGACACATACATATGTATATACCAATTATTTTTGCCGCTTATATTAAAAAGAAATTTAAATTACTGTCATTTAAATATTTATTATTATTTATCAAATTCTCTCTCTCTCTCTCTCTCTCTCTCTCTCTCTATATATATATATATATATATATATATATATATATATATATATATATATATATATATTTCTACAGGTTTGTATATATATATATATATATATATATATATAAATATATATATATATTTCTACAGGTTTGGATAGATAGATAGATAGATAGATAGATAGATAGATAACTGAAAACTCATATATCTGGGCAATGTCATACAGCGAATAACAACTATATCTGAATTGGTCAGTTTCTCTGAAATGATCACAGTACCGGGCTAAATTATTCGGTTGATGTATATATATATATATATATATATATATATATATATATATATATATATATATATATATATATATATATATATATATATATATATATATATATATATGGATAAAAGCGTTAGTTAGATCCAGTGACAGGGTCCAAAGAGAGTGTGAGTTCAATACCTACTTAAGGCGGTGGAGAACATGGAGAGGGGGAATTAACAGGAGATAACTGATAACTGACATCCATTAGACAGGGCACGTGGAACTAGAACAGTCTACCCAAGCGAGCGTAATAAAGGTTCCAGTTCGACATTCCAAACACCTGAAGAAGGCCGGAGCGTACAACGGCCGAAACGTTGTGATAGATATGGCAACAAAGATGAGGATAATCAAACACCATTTTCATTTTATTATACGCATTTAAAACGCAAGCATTTGCAGGTTTAAAGTTTTGAAAATCTGAAAAAATATTGTGGATGCAAATAAAGTTTGATCAAGCCTAATTATTTTCTCAGGATGCAAGACTGAATGGTGATTTTCTAAACATAGAAGGCCCCAAATTATTGAATACCTAGTAAGGATCGAGTTCATTACTTAGTTGTAGTTGATCTAGCGAGGCAACACCATAACACCACGTCGAAGTGGCCAGAATACAAGACTGAATCACTGTCAAGTGTATTACATAAACTTAACATATTTTATCGAGACACTCGTGAAAAATATATTACTATATCCTATTTTACATAACGTTGACTTCACTTTTGCTAAGCAAATATTCTCGGGCCCGAATTCACTACTTATCATCTGATAAATTACACACAAAAAAGCAAACAAATAAAATGATCTATTTTAACACCAGCAAAAATTCTTTGTTTTTGTTCTTCTGATATCAGTGGCAGAGTAAAATGTGTTGCAGTCACGTTCACGCCTGCTATTTTCGGTAGCATTCAACTTCAGTATGTTAGTTGTCTTTTAGTAAACACGAAATTAGTAATTCCATTATTTAATCAAGATATTGTGGAGGTTATTATTAACAAACGAAAAAAGAATTGTTGGATTTTGCACAAAACAAATATCACTAATTCAGTATCTAAAACCAAGAATAACAAGTTTAATGCTTAAATGTTTATGGGTACTAACTGAGGTTGTTAAGAACAAAAAATTATTAAGTAATCACTTTCTCCCACTATCCATATTGTTCATAACACTCTCTTTTTCTCTAAAAAAAAAAAGTGTCCCGTAAAAGTAGACTATTCACTCTCATTTTCATTTTGGTGTCTAAACATTTAGCTGGTTTCGCTTAGAACAATACAGAATAACAAAATCTCGAATGGTTTTCGAAAATAATCTTCTGCCTTAAGTTAAATTTTGGTTACTTTGGCCAAAAAATAAAAAGAAGGAAGTATATATATATATATATATATATATATATATATATATATATATATATATATATATATATACATGGGTTGGAACACTTGTTAAATTCAAAGAAAATTTATTTAATATGGGGTTGGTCTTCCTTAAGCCTCACAGACAGCTTTAATACATGTAGGAATAGAACCATACAGCTGCCTGACTTCATCCAGAGGAATTTTCAGTCATTCTTCCATTAAAGCCTTCTCCTGCTCTTTACGACACGACGATGGAGGATAGCGACTTCTAACTTGTTGCTCCAAAATGTACAACAAATGTTCAATAATATTGATATCTTGTGATAGGGGAGGCCACTCCATGTGTTATAGCTCACTTTCATGCTCTTCATACCAATTCTTAACCACTCGAGCGGTATGTATTGGAACATTATCGTCTTGGAAGATGTTGTCACCATCAGGGAATAAAGTCTTGGACATTGGATGAACATGATCTCCCAAAATGTTCAGGTAAACTTTGCTGTTGATTCTACCATGCAGGGAAACTATTGGACTGAGACATTTCCATGATATGGCGGCCCAACCTATCACTGATCCACCTCTATGCTTCACTGTTGGAAGAAAACAGTCAGGGTTGTAAGCTTCTTTGGGTTGCCTCCACACATAAACGCCCTGAAGTTGGGAAAAGACATGTTTGAGGATATGACTTGCTTCCATTGGTCGGCAGACCAGGCATTGTGATCTCTTCACCACTTTAATGTCTTTTGAATGTTGCGAGTGGAGAGAAGAGGTTTCCTCACAGCTGCTTTTCAATGATATGCAGCCTTTTGGAGCTCACGGTGAACAGTTTTAGTAGAAACTGAACAATTCAGATTGTTATTCAACTCAGCAGTCACTTTGGCCGCATTTGTCCGATGATTTTTTCCACATTGCGTTTCAATGCACGTTAGTTTGCAAGTCCGGTCCGAATTGCTAGGGTTGCTAGAGGTCTTGCCCTGTTTCTCGAATTGCATCAGTGTTCTTGATATGGTAGCTCTTGAAAATCAAACAGTTCTGCAAACTTAGTGATCGAGGCTCCTGCCATGCGAACTCCAACAATTTGCTTTTTTCGAACTCGGAGCGGTCACGCATTTAGCTCACATTTTATAAATTCTAAAAATAAATAAGACAAAGACAGTAAATTAGACAAATAAGTGTATTTACAATAGATATAACCTGCATTTACGAAGTTTTAGTTTAAGTTCTTAATATAATAGGTCTTTGAAATATAGGAGTGGATTTTGCAACTGTTCCAATTATTTTGTCCAACCCATGTATATATATATATATATATATATATATATATATATATATATATATATATATATATATATATATATATAAACCTAAAGAGCCAGGTAAATCTACCTAGGTTTTCCCCTACACGGATCATCAGGGTAAAACTAGCCAGTTTTACCCTGAGGGTCCGTTTAGGTGAAACCTAGGTAGGTTTACCTGGCTTGGGTTTATATTAGGTTTGTCTACTTCGTGTATTGAGCAATTTACCTAGTTACTCTTACTCGTTTTGGAGTTTTTTTTTAATTTGGACTCTGAGCTTGAACTCTGGACGATTGCTTTCGCCTTTTTTATTCCTCATTTTTCCTTGGATACTACTTTGTTCTACTACAAGCCGAAATGTGTGTGTGTATGTGTATGTGTGAGTGAGTGTGTGTGTGTATGGGTGCAAATATATAGAAAATAAGAAAGAACCGTTTCAAAAACAGAAGCTAAAATCTTCAATTTAATTATAGAAATTAAATTACATTAATTTACCCAGTTATGTTTCATCCTCAAGTATATTTTGGAAAAAGAAATTTTGAAATTTATGGAGCTTTATAATCTATATACTTTCGTAATATTCACTTCTATGGAAACGGAGAAAAACAACCATTTTAATAAGGGGCGGTAGGGTTTACATTTTCACTGACAACTATTGTATCAATATATTAGTTACTTTCGAAAAGTTATTAAAATGATTAGATTTCTCTGTTTCCATAGAAATTAATATTACGAAAGTATATCCTTATAAAGCTCCAAAAATTTCAAAATTTGTTATTCGAAAATTCGCTTGACGATGAAACAGAACTATGTACTTCAATTTAATTTAACTTCTATAATTAAATTGAAGGTTTTAGCTTCTGTTTTGAAACATGAGAACTCCTTTATAGCGTGTGTAATCATATTTTTTTTAAAAATAATATATATATATATATATATATACACACACACACACACACACACATATATATATATATATATATATATATATATATATATATATATATATATATGTCGTACCGTTAATTAACATATGATTAGTTAACCTGCTGATGTTTAACGATATCTACATGCCATAGTCCAGTTTCTTCATGGCAGTAGGGATATTTTATGGTTTGGTTTTCTTGATTTTTTTTCTGAACTTTCTAGATGTTTAAATTTTTGTCTTAATTTTTATAAAATCTTTTTGCTGTGTAATATTCACTATCTGGGATGAGTATCAAATATTGTTTTACATGCAAAGTAATTTAACTGAAAAAAATACTTGTTCTGTAAAATAGATGCTTTTATTCTTCATGAGTTGAGAATAATTGAGGCACTTACGTATATCTATACCCAGTGCATAAATGAAAAAGGGAAAACGAGATTTGTTTTGTTACGGTGAGATTGTCGGAGCTAGCTCCTTCTTAATTTTCTAATTGTCACTAGGGGTCGCACTCCCTACACTACAAATACTGGGCGACTTCTTGCTTTGTTCTCTTTTTTACTTTGCATTTCAGCGGACACATTTTAAAATAAATCCGTGTTTTCGCTCACTTGTGGGAAAACGCCATGAAACACACATACACGTACATACGAACATTTACGTTTACACACAAGTACAAATGTTAATGTCTTTGTCACTTGTAAAATTGGACCTTCTTCTAGCAGGAATAAACAGCACGTGTTTCCAATTCAGCAACACTTAATCCACACGCAATCCGCTACAAGTTCACCCAATAGTATGCCCAGGAGCCTCTCAAATTATAGGTTTACTGAGTAAAATCGTTGTAAGAGACACAGAAAAAGGTAGTAAATGTGTATATTATGCGGGGATAGAGGATAGACATCGGTTGACCCTAGACAAGAAGTGACCAACATTATAGTTGCCAGGTAAGCATCATCTCGTGAGTTTATCACAGAAAGCAACAGTTACTTGGAAGAAGCTATTTGAGTGGAAATTGTTTCTTATCAAAGCGACACGAAGACAATTGAGATGGTTCGTCACCATGAACACGGCATATTTGGTCCTTGCTGTGAAGTTCTGAGCTGGTTGAACACATGCCATATTAATATGGATAGAATAGTGACCGGCTAGCAACGTTTCCTCTGTGTGATAAGGTTTGCAGAGTGGAGAATAATTCACCACCAACAAAGCCGCGTAATCGTTTTGAACTTTGTCGAATGTGGACAGTGATGATTGAACAGCACCAGCCCAGATATGGAAGCAATACTCCATTCTTGGTCCGATCCGACTCTTGTAATTATAAAACATGACAGTAAGTGTTAAAAACTTTTTGAAGAGTTTCAAGGAACCAATTATTATACCAGCCAGTGATTTTCCTATTGAACTGTGTTAAGTCTGAGTAAAGATCAACTGACAGACACAGGTCATCTGTACAGGGTGTTCCAGCAAAATCTGACACTTGACAAGGCGGGCGCGAAGTGAGTCACACGCTTTGCCGACCATGTCCATAGCGGCGTGTTGTGGGCGTGCTTGTAGATCTTGGCCTCGATCACGCCCCAGAAGAAATACTTAAGGAGGTTGCACTTAGGTGAGGAGGGCGGCTACAAGTCCGGCAACCAGTGGTGAGGAACATTGTTGAGCAGCCACGCCTGTGTCGTCTTGGCTTTGTGTGCAGCGAGGAGAACGCCATGCCTTCTTTCAAAAGGGACTGAGAGTCACTGCTGAGATCTACCAGGAGGTGCTGAGGAACGTGGTGAAGCCCTGGATGGACAAGATCGCCACCGGACGTCCCTACGACTCCCCAAGACTACAACCTGCACACAAGGCCAAGATGACCCAGGCGTGTCTGATCAACAATCTTACTCACCACTGGTCGCCGGAATTGTGGTCGCCCTCCTCACCTGACTGCAAACTCCTTGACTATTTTTTCTGGGGCGTGATCAAGGCCACGACCAACAAGCACGCCCACAACACGGTCACTCTCCAAAGCGTGTGACTCATTTCGCGCCCTCCTTGAGATGGTCGTCGCAGCCAGCGGAGGTTACATTGAAAAATAATGTAGTATGTAACTCTAACTGTTGCTAAATAAACTGTCGGGTCTCTGCATATACAACTTTTGCTTTCATTGCCCATTTCGTTTTCTATTTGTCAAGTGTCGGATTTTGCTGCAAAACCCTGTATATTTAGAGGTATTACTTAGTAACATCTACATGTATATTTACTATCAGACTGTTGGACAGATCGTTACTGCAAAACAGAAAGAGGTTAGAACCCTGTGAGAAAGAGGGAGAGATTGCGGGGGTACAGCATTGATCACATATGCTTCAGAGGGCTACCCATTAATGACGACATTCAAGGGACTAACCGAGAGAAAAGACTTGATGACTGAGCTTTCTTCCGGCCTCTTTCTTTCCAATCAACTTTGATCTTCAAAAATTTAAATGGAATGTCAATCGTTATCTTTTGTTTTCTTAATTGTTTTTCTTTTATTGTTCCCTTTTCTTAATGTTTTTTCTTTTTTCTCATAGTATGACATAATCAGAAACAACTTGCATCTCAGTGGTTTTATTACCTTGCGTAAAATGGTTTTAAAATGAACAGTGATTAAACAACTTCACCAAGATTAGTTGTTTAATACTATTTATTATAAACAGAGCATTTACTTAAACATTTGTATCTATAAAAAAATGTATAAACATAAATATGTCTTAAAATTTTTTAGATGTGTATGTTTTTCTGTCTTGAGGTTTCTACATTATTTCTTAACGTTCTCTTTCCAAAGCCTGCATTAATTCTGTTATGTCTTCATCTCACTCCTTTTCACTGCCAGCATTTTCAATGTCGGACAACTTTTATCACTCATCTTTGTTCACTTACTTACGTTTCACCTAACATACCCACCATGAATAGACGATGTCCGACAATGAGATTCCTATGTGATGCAAATCTAAGCAATATGGCGTTCAAGCATAAATGCATTCATGTCCACAAGATACGTTTTTAGTGTTTTCTTTTTTGTCTTTTTACTTATTTCGTTTTTTTTCTAACTCCTTTCTAATCCAATTCACCACTCTTCTATTTTGTCTGTTTTTTCAAGCATCTCTGTATATTGATTAATTATAACAAATGTAGTGTTGAAAATAAAGAACTTACGCATAGAATAGTTGGTGCTGGGTGTAATTTCTCCCAACACGGCAAATTGATACAAGACCAAAGCATTAACCTACAAACTCGAGTCCTGTTCTAAAATAGCCTCGTCAGAAAGGAGATATTATCATATCGCCGTCAGACATGGCGTCAAAAATATTTAAAATGTCAGCTGTATACGACGTCTTTCTCAAAGCTATTTTTAAAGACGGCTTTAAGCGAATGAACCCTGAACGTCTTAATGAGGACCACACACTTTCAACCTCGTGAACTGGTGCGATCAGACCGTGTCTTTTTTCTTGAAAGTCGTTGTCGTTTTGGACATAAACTGTCAGCACTGTCTTATTCTATATCTTATCTGCAAAGATTACTCTATGTTATGTGAATATTTTTCTCTAGACGACATCTACAAATGGCGTTTTATTGAATCCACTGTTTATACTGTTGATAGACTCATATATTATTCCTCAAAGGTTAGAAATATGTGATAGAGATACGAATATCCACATGATCTATTAATTTGCGATTATGTACTTTTCTCAGCTACAGTAATGATGTTTTTTCTTTCTACATCAAATTTCCTCTGCATAGCCATGCCAATGATTATTTTCCTGTGAAATTTTCTAGTTATCTTTTAATTAATCAGTGAATTTCTTTCCTTTTCTATTTTACTTTCCTGTTGGTGTTTTCGCTATTTTCTCGTTTGTTATTTACTTTTCTTCCTGTTTGCGTTGTTTAAAGCACCTTTCATCACATTCTTGCTGAAACACTACACATATTGTTATAAATTCCAACTTGGCTTTAGTGGCACAGTCTTCGATCTAAACTAAAACTGTTTTTTCCTTTTCATATATGATCTGTTCTTTGTCGTCTTTGAGCGCTTTGTGCATTGTCGTTAATTTCCCAACCGGTCCGTCCCTTCATTAATTTACTTTCCTCTTTTGTTCAACCAACGAATGGTCCTTTGTACATCACCAGCGATGCGATCCAGGTCTGTATCTTCTTCTGAAGTCTCTACGATTGATTTTCTTTTCATTCAATCCTTTTTTTATTCAGTTGAGAAATTCGAAGTATTTATATCGTTTCTCTGCGATTAATGAACTGTTTTTATTATCAATTATGTCGATCACATCTGTTATTACAATTTTGCCCTTGGTTATTATAAATATCGTTTCAATATACTAAATCCAATTCCGATGTCGCCACTGTAAATAGTGACTTTCAAATTCTTGTTCATTATAAATTATTGAATGTGTTTGATCTTTTACCTTGTCTGGTAGAATCCGTACCATGTGTGAATTTACAGGATTAGATTTAATCTCATTATATCTATGAAAAAGAGAACTAAATATTAACAAACAATTTTGCTTTTATACTTGGCTAATTTAAGGGTTCCGCACAGGTATTCGAATCAGCTTTACAGATTTTATCAAACGGTTGAAAATACTGGGGCACACTATTTTCATTATTCGGACTGTTGTCCTCATATTTGTCGCCACATTTATTACAACGTTTCGGCCGTTGTAAGTTCCGGCATTCTTCAGCTGGTAGTAATGTTTCGCTTTATTTCGCTCACTGAGGTAGACTGTTCTAATTCCACGTACCATGTTTTAATGGATGTCAGTTATCAGTTATCTCCATGTTAAACTCCACTGCCTTAACCAGGTATTGAACTCACACTCTTTGGGTCCTGTTACTGGTTGTTGGATCAGGTTGAGATCATAGACAAAGAACACCATTGGAAAATTCGTAAACTTAAGGAATCAGCACGTGCTAGGCCACAAAAATCTCCTGAGTCGACCAAGCATATACATGATTAAAATATGGGAACTGACTAATTCTTTATCTAATGTCTCTTGGACGCCACTTATGACATTTGATCGGAGTTGTAAGCAGCGGACGATCCCTTTCTTTACGCTGAATGGATGGTGGGAGTTGAAAATGAGGTACTGCGCTGTGAATGTCGGTTTGCAGTATACAGATGTCTAAAACACCATGCTCTGTTCGATATAATAAAACATCCAGGAATGAGATTGTTCTATTACTCTCTTTCCCCATCGTGAACAGTATCGAAGGTCATATTGAGTTCACATGGTCCAGTAGAACCTGAACATTTTCCTGGTGTGGCCAGAGTATGAAGGTGCCATAGAGTTGGCTTTGGAGATATAGATTCTAATGCCATTTCTTCAAAGTATTCCATATATACATTCGCCATTGCTGGTGATAATGGTGAGCCCATTGTTAAGCCCTCATCCTGATGATATATGTGATTTCATTCGGAAGTGTGCTGTTTGTGTACAGAAAGTCAATATCTCCATCAGATTATCTATTGGAATACTGATCGGTTCTTCTAGCGGTGATTCAGAGGCTAATCTGTCTCTGACTACTGAGAGTTCCACAAAAATCTCTTGAGCCAACCAAGCATATATATATATATATATATATATATATATATATATATATATATATATACACAAATATCGAGATAGTTGCAAAATGAAATATTCGATTAAACATGTTATTTTTCTGTGGAATTTTATGAGTTTCCATCAAATGATTTCAGAAGTTTTTCGGGTGTCTATGCATGCAGACCTAGGATTTAAATGATCATATGTTCCTTGAAGGATTTTTTGGTGATTACGAAGCATTGGTCTAATCTGATTTTACATCTAGTGTTCATTTATATACATGCATAAATACCTTCTCTCTATTTATCAAACCACTAACTATTCTGTAAATAAAAGAATTACACTAGATAGTAGGATGCTGAGTAAGATTGTTATATAGACGTTAGATTATGAGGATATGTAGGATATATAACGTTCTACTCTCGCCTTGAATAGGTTAAAATTATAGTGGTCGGGGAAACAACCACTCGGAAATCTGTTCCAAAATGTGGTGGTTCCAGGAAGAAATTTCCTGGATTGAACTCCCTCCTTACGAATAGAATACGAAGAAGTAAAGGCTCCGAAAATTTCGAAAGTCTGAATTTTAAAATTGTGTGTGTGTGTGTGTGTGTGTGTGTGTGTGTGTGTGTGTGTGTGTGTGTGTGTGTGTGTAAATGCCCCGTAAGTTAAAACACTGATGAATTTATTATTTTTTAGATATATTTTTGAAAACTGTGTTTACTCCTAAATTCCTGGGCCAAGAGGCCTGTCAAACAAACCAGCTTCTTGTTTAATGTCATTTAATAATAAAAAAAAAAAAAAAAACATGATAGCTTTGTCCCAGTGTTTTCCTCAATTCATTATGCAGATTTGGTGAACGCTTTGTTCGCGTTGCTCCCAATTAGCCAAGAGATTAATTAACTCTAATCTTGATGAAGGATTACATTAACCTGAGTCAAAGACAAGAGAATAATGCAGAATTACCAAAAATTAATCTTGCAAAATCCGTTGCATTATATATTGCTTTTGTTTGCTCTCCTATCGTGTACGCCAATATCGATTATAAAAAAATGAACAAAATAAAATGGAACACCAAATA